GTGAGTTTTCAGTTATATATATATATATATATATATATATATATATATATATATATATATATATATATATATATATATATATATATATATATATATATATATATATATATATATATATATATATATATATATATATATATATATATATATATATATATATATATAGTATATATATACTGTATACAAGATGTCTTTCATTGTTGTACAGCCACTATAGCACACATGGTGTTTTCATTACCATACTGTACCTGTTCATTTCCATACTGTACCTGTTCATTACCATACTATACCTGTTCATTACCATACTATACCTGTTCATTACCATACTATACCTGTTCATTACCATACTATACCTGTTCATTACCATGCTATACCTGTTCATTACCATACTATACCTGTTCATTACCATACTGTACCTGTTCATTACCATACTGTACCTGTTCATTACCATACTATACCTGTTCATTACCATACTATACCTGTTCATTACCATACTATACCTGTTCATTACCATACTATACCTGTTCATTACCATGCTATACCTGTTCATTACCATACTATACCTGTTCATTACCATACTGTACCTGTTCATTACCATACTGTACCTGTTCATTACCATACTGTACTTGTTCATTACCATACTATACCTGTTCATTACCATACTGTACCTGTTCATTACCATACTATACCTGTTCATTACCATACTATACCTGTTCATTACCATACTATACCTGTTCATTACCATGCTATACCTGTTCATTACCATACTATACCTGTTCATTACCATACTGTACCTGTTCATTACCATACTGTACCTGTTCATTACCATACTGTACCTGTTCATTACCATACTATACCTGTTCATTACCATACTGTACCTGTTCATTACCATACTATACCTGTTCATTACCATGCTATACCTGTTCATTACCATGCTATACCTGTTCATTACCATACTATACCTGTTCATTACCATACTGTACCTGTTCATTACCATACTATACCTGTTCATTACCATGCTATACCTGTTCATTACCATGCTATACTTGATCATTACCATGCTATACCTGTTCATTACCATACTGTACCTGCTCATTGCCATGCTATACCTGTTCATTTCCATACTGTACCTGTTCATTACCATGCTATACCTGTTTGTTACACGATATTATTCTGAACTGTTATCAATTGATAAGCTATTCTATTCTGTTTACTACTCAAACACTATTTTGTCTCACTGATGTGAAATCATTTAAATACTGTATGTTGTATTTTTAAACTACAATTTATTATTGCCTGTTACGGCTCATTGTTCAATGAAACACACTGCTTTTTTAAACACTGATAAATGTTGTTTTTAAATCTAAATCTAGATTACAGTATATAATTATAATAAATACATGTTTTGCTATTAATATGACTTACTCTTGTGTAAATAATGTAAACTAATTCAACAAACATTGTACAAGCATTAATGAATACAGTTTTTTATTTTTTATTTTAATTTAAATATTAAAGTATGAGTCAAGATAATCTTTTCTTTTGACAGGGGAGAGAGAGTTTAATAATTTAATCACCTTTTATTATACCCCTTTCAAGATTGAATCAATTAATTTATTTTAAGAGTTCTATATGATTTAAGGCTATGTATCAACTTTGTCACTTGACCCAATAATGAATTGTGCAGAGTGAGGAAGACATTCTTAGCTTATAAAACAAACATCTTCCAATAAAATTTAAACATAAATAAATTTATATAGCCTCAATACACTGTTTCTTGGCTTTAAATTACCAGCCACTAGCACCCCCAGATCTTTCTTTGTATACCTGCTTGATGGGGTTCTGGGAGTTCTTCTACTCCCCAAGCCCGGCTCGAGGCCAGGCTTGACTTGTGAGAGCTTGGTCCAACAGGCTGTTGCTTGGAGCAGCCCGCAGGCCCACATATCCATCACAGCCTGGTTGGTACGGCACTTCTTGAAGAAAACCATCTAAGTTTTCTCTCGATGATGTCCCACAGTTTGGGCAATATTCCTTATAGTCGCTGGGAGGGCGTTGAACAACCGTGGACCTCTGATGTTTATACAGTGTTCTTTGATTGTGCCTACTGCACCCCTGCTCTTCACTGGTTCTATTCTGAATTTTCTTCTATATCATTCACTCCAGTGCACTGTTATTTTTATTGAGTAGATATCTTTATTGGTGCTACAGTGTTCATCCAACAGCAATTTTTTTTAAATTTTCAATATGAATTACCCTGTACCTTAAATTTATCAGCATTTAATCTTTCCTACCACTTTCATACATTAGTTTAAGATTGATATTGTAGCTTATGTGACACAACATGGCAATAGGGCTTCTTTACTTTAAAATCACTTTCTATAAATGACGAAACATATTAACATTTTTTTTCACAAAATATAATTGGAAAATAGGGGTGTTTTCAGTGGAGATGAATTTTATATGCCAACAAATAAAGTATGGTACAATGGGGCCTCGACTTACGATGCTAATCCGTTCCCAGAGACGGATCGTAAGTTGAAATATCGTAAGTCGAAGCGATTTTTCCCATAAGAAATAAAGGGAATTGAATTAATCCGTTCCCCACCCTCCAAAATATTAACATACAAATACATTTTATATTGAATACAATGTTTTTTTCTAACTACAATACAGTACCAAAGTTTCCCTTACCTTTATGGAGGGCTCTTGATGGCGTATGGAAGATGGTGATGAGGGGGGAGGAGGAGAGATGTTACTGTTTGGAAGGGGAGTCCCCTTCCATTATCACATCAGGCAGTGATGTTTTCTCTAGGGTACTCTCTCTCCTACGTTTTGCCTGAATACCACTAGAACCTGGTTGTGGTTCAGTGCTTGTTAGTCTCACTACAAATTTGTCAAGAGACATTTGTTTTTCCCTTCGTTTTAACATTTGTCTGTAATGCTGCATCACAGTGTCATTGAATAGGTTAAGGCAACGACCTACTGCAGCTTGATTTGTGTGAGTCGTTTCAGCAAAGGTTTGCAATTCTTCCCATGCTGCACACATTTTCTTAATTGTTGAGGAAGAGACATTCTGTACTCTTGTTTCTGCTCTGTGATCATCCTTACAAAGGTTTTCGTATGTTGAGCCTTACCACTAACGTTCCTGGGACTCATGGCGTGATATATAATAATTACTTTAATGTTCAAAATGCAAAAAATCACCACAAAAGCGAAATTTCTTATAGGCACGATCGTTACTAAGCGGGCAGCTGTAGTAAACTGAGGCAGGTCGGCTGCGTGACCGGAAACCACGCGCTTCATCGACCCAAACGTGTACCAACAAATATCGGAAGTCGACGACACCATCGGATGTCGAGTCACATTTTTCGATGAAATTTACATCGTAACTCGAAATTATCATAAGTAGGGGCAATCGTATGTCAAGGTGCCACTGTATTTTGTTTTATCACTTTTGTTACATTTGGTTGTTGCAAGCTGGACATTTACTTTTCTGTACAGTTACCTATTGCAAGGCTAGTTTTGCCTTCCACTGTGTATAATTATTAGTGAAGTATTTTAATTTTCGTGAGTACCATTTTGTGCCATTAGCCAGTCATTCACTTACTTGTTTTACCAGTGTTCCTTTTTAATAATATGTCCTTTGATAATATCCTCAGTGAATCTGGCACCTTTCATGTCGCTCGTCTTCTCTCTCTCTCTTTGCTCTGGTATTGGCATCCTGAATAATATCTAGGAATTTGTTTAATATTCAGCGGCACGATATTGAATATTCTTACAGGCTTGGTGCCTTCTTTTGACTTTGGCACCTTAATGTTCAGCTATGCATTTACATGTCTGCTTGCCTAAGTGAAAAAAATAAAAAATCTTTCTACAATTATTAATTTGGACGTAAAAAGTATGGAAAAGTGGAAATAAAGTAACCATCCACATTTTAGCCAGTTTTGTGCAGGGAACAGGTGGAGTGTGTGTGCACACACGTGTGGCAGCTCGGCTCCGTCTGTCAACACCAGACATTCACAGTGACCCACCCACACCACTCTCAGTGTTGACCTTGCATGTCTACTACATCACGAATACACTGGTATGTATGTATGTATGTATGTTGAATGAATGAAAGAGTGAATTAGAAGATAAGAATTTAGACAACTGCATAAGGCTTATTAGCCCATACAAGGCACCTTCTATTTTATATCATTGATGTAAATACTGTAAGAGCATCCTCATATCAGCCAATAGGCCCGTATATAAATAAATATGGGTGGATATAAATGGGAGCTGTCTTGCATGGGTCACTAGGCCTTCTGCAGTTCCTTTTATTATGTTCAAATGATCATTAGTTGACCTGTTATACTTCATTACAACCTTACACAATTGTGAAAATCACATCAACATAACCAATATGCATACGTATCACATAATTATTATGGAATTTCATACCATGATGATTGCTGCATTGGAATAGTATCATTTGCAATGATAAGCACATATGCAATTATGCATAATAGGCAATCATGAAATGACAGCGGGATTTTTTTCATGGGGTCAAGGTAAACTCCACTACATCCATACTATTATATATATATTTGTATCATTAGTGTAAAACCACGACTAAATGAACTGTAGTAACTAAATAATAACTTAATGATAAATAACTAAACTGTAAATGTTGACCAAACCACACACTAGAAAGTGAAGAGACGACGACGTTTCGGTCCGTCCTGGACCATTATTAAGTCGATTTTTCAGGCAGGTTATTGTGACTTTTCATCTGCATTCTAATACACATCTTTGGGATTAAATTAATGTAAATCCATTCCAAATTAAACGTTTTGTTATATTTTGCTCAAAGTGCAGGTGTTACCGGACTAGGAACTTTTTCAAAATTAACATAGCTCGTCTATAAAATGAGCTCATCTGTATTAATAACACCTTACACACTTTAAAAATATTTATATCACGTGCAAGAAAATCAGTGGATCTGTTAACAAATTAAAAGCTTTGAGATAGTACCTTTATTGTTCAATAAATAAGTAAAAAATATTTAAAGTCTGGATCAGCCTTTTAGGTAGTACAGTAATACAGTATACCTCGTCCATGACCCACTCTACATGCTTCTCACTTTTATCTTAAATTATCAGATACCTTTCTTTTCTTTAACCATGTGAAATAATTTTCCACAACAAAAATTAAAAAGAGAAAACTACTGTACATATATAGAAAATCAAAGCCAGTTTCATAGTTTTACTCGTTTATAATGTAAACACTGGCTTCAACTTCAGTAATTAAATTAGTTTTCAGGAGAAATTCTACTTTCAGTAATTATGCACTTCAAGGGGAAATTCTAAACGCACACAATTTTCTTTGTCGACACTCACATTAAAAAGCCAAATATTACATTAAATTATTCCATGCTCTTGATTCACTGAGCACAAGCACATGAGTTGGCAGCCTCCTCCTGCTTTTCTAATTTCTCTTCTTGGAGTTTTCTCCATGTGAACATAGCCTCTAATACATCCCACAGGCAGGATTCCTTTGGGTAATCATTATCAACTAGATTCACGAGGTAATAATTGTTGGTAATGTGCTGGATTATCTCTTGAGATCGGCTTCCCTCGGGATACAACTTGCCCCATTGTTCTTCCCATAGACCAAATGCTTCCTCCTTTAAGAAAAATAAGCAAATTATTTGTCTATCCATTTGTAATGGAGAAAAATCAATGTTTCTACTATATACTTTTACATACATGTCTATGTAATATACACAGGCAAATAAACCTAGGCATGTTTTCATCATAGCTGAGGGGAGGAATTTCAGATTTAGCATATCTCAAGATACAAATAATGGTATGATGGTAATGAGTACAAGGGGTGCAATGATTACAAGATTTCATATAACTAAAGGGCATAAACAAATTCACAAGGGCCTTGATGAGGATTCAAACCTATGCGCTGGATTTTCACAGACACGTCTGGGCATATAATGAATACTTTAAGTATGAATACTGAATTGACTATAGAAATTATGGTCCAAGACCAAGGATATGAGTACAAAACATAATGTTCACCACAAAGGTCTTCAATTTGTGCAACACAGGTAAATACATACAAACTGGAGGAAAGAGGTAACGAAAAATGCAGCAGTTTGAATCCACACAAAATGTGTCCATCACAGAGGTCAAGCAGATAGCAAATGGAGCCACATAAAGAGGCAGCTGACAATTTCATGCCAAGGTAAAGAGATCCACTTAAGGATGCCTGAATGACTCTCATATACATTGATAGAAGTCTATGTCTACTGTCCACACTGTAAAAATCTGATGAAAGAAGCAGATGTCATCCATGAGAATGTTTGAAACATCTTTGTATATGAACTGTACTGACGCTATCCTTGAAGCCTCCCCACTCCTCCCTGACCCCCAAAAGGGAGAAGGACCTGGTGGACCCATCCCACTTTAGGCAATGAACCACTGGTGTTCAATCCCAGTAAAGCTCATTGTAAAGTAAATTCTAAGCCTCATAGAAGAGAAAAGTATGAAAGCACCATTCAGACTGCTGCAAACATCACCGTGATCTGTGCCTGCATCAGGGAAAGATACCCCAACTCCTGACCGATGTGGTGAGTGCTGGAGACAAAGCCCCAGGCAAGATCCAATGTCTGTGTACAACTCAAAGAGACATAGCGAGATGGATAGGAACAGGCCAATGAGCAGCTCAATGATTCAGAGATGTGAGAAACATCTGGGCCAAAACCAGCAGGTGAATCTGGTACACTGTGGTTATCTAGAATGTTGGACAATAAGTAAGTGCATTTGGGAAAAGAAGATCAAGAATTAACTAAGGCTCTGAAGAGTCCTTTGGAGTCAGAAAAAATTAGACAAACCCCTAATGATACATGTCACTGCTAAGACACACTTGTTGAACAAGTTATGGATGACATTACAGAGTAGATGTTTGAGCCAGATATCTAACTCGAAAAGGAGGTCCAAGTCCACCAAAGCCTCTTGAATTGAGGCTGAAAGCCAAGTTGTCCAAGAACCAAGCCTAATAAATGGCTCCCAAGTATGCTCTATCACTGGTCACCAAACTTGGGTGATCGTTGTCATGCCCCGGTTGAAGTCTGAAGAGGCACTCGCAGATGGACAAACCATCTCCAAATGTTACTGCACAGAGAAGAGCTTCTGAGAAGTGTAAAAAAAAGGAAAACTTTCAGAAGCAATCTGGAATACTGGACATTGAGTTACCACACCCGTACATCACAGGAAGAGGGGCAGACATGAGCAAAGCATGACTGACAGCAGAAGACACTAAAGACAGGGGGTAATCATCAACATCCTCGAGTGAGTGCAACAAAAAGTCGCCACTTCTCCAAGGAGAACAACAGACTGCTCACTAACTTGAAGGAAACCTGGACCTCATACATTAACTAGGAAGCAACCGAGTTATTTGTAGAATTTTGGGTCAAATTCAGATGCATAGGAACAGTCTTACTGTAGTAACTACACCACATCTCATCAAGGAAGGCAAGATTTCAGGAACCCACAGAGTGGGTTCAAATGTAAACCCTGAACCAGGACTCAGAAACATGCTGACAAAGCTAAGGGGGGTAACTGAAAAAGTATCAAACTGGTTGGAAAACCTATATCCCTAACTTGGAAGGAAAGACCCTCCCTTGTCACAGAAGAGGAAGCGATAGAGTTTCAGGACAACTCCAACATACAACCCACTGAAAATTAAGCCTCGGGAAAACCTCGAGAGGTTGCCCCCCTGCCCTCTGTTCTTTGCCCGTGTGATTTGGGCAGCCTAGGTTAATCACCTATAAGAGTCAGTTGAGTATTGCATTGTTTGTCTGAAAGAGGAGAATATAATGTGTTGATCATTATCAGTGTACAATTGACAAATGTACTTCACTTGTTTTTCTGCTTTCAGAGCAACAATATCATTTGTAGTCTGCAAGTCTAGACATTACATTAAGTTAAATATATAAAGCATAATAACAACATAAAAGAAGACACGATGCAAACACAGGCAAAAATATCAACCCAAACAATTAGCCTAGATTGCATGGCATTGGAGATGTATTATTCTATAAACTCAAGGGCTGAAAAATTGTTGTCATGTGGACGTGAAAACCTTAGTTTAAGGTGTCCTAGTATCAAGCATGGATTATACAGTACACAAAACATACAAAAAGTAACTGACACATCACAAGTAATGACATGCTGCATAAAGGTGAAAATCATTGTTAATGAACTAGTACACAAATACCATTTGTGGAGTTTAAGAGAATATGAACATAGTACAATGTATGTATTACCTTCCATGCCCTAAAGCTGAGGGGATCAACTATAGTTGGCTGTATAATCTCAGTGCCTGGGAATGCTCCCCATGTTACAGCAATTGGTCGATGCTTGTGGCAGTTACTGAAATCGGCCGAGCCCTGAAGATAAAAATACATCTTTTAAAACTTAATCACTAAATATGACATGACTGGTTATGCCAAAATGTGAGTGTATGACATTAAATTAACACATAATAACCAAACACATCTTTAAAAAAATTTATCATATACTGTACAACTGCAGAGAAACTGTGCTACTCCAACATCAAATCAATGACAATGTGAGCTCATCTATATTAAACTACTTTTGAGCACAGTACAGTACTGTACTCTTATTACAAATTTTGAATATTTATGAGACATCAGGATTGGAAACTTAATAAAACGGTAAAAAGGTAGAAGGAAATGAAATATCCCTTTCTGTGTTAGATCTCGGAAGCCCTCAGCTTACACTCTCGGTAGCCCCTCAGCTTACACTCTCGGTAGCCCCTCAGCTTACACTTACACACTGGATGGCACTGGCCAGGCTAGTTATATATATGTCTGGCAGCAATGAGACACATTACCCACTGAGGGGACACTACCCTTGAAAAGGCTCCATTAACCCTTTTCCAGGAGTTGATGGTACCTGCAGATCAGAAATTATGAGTGGCAAACTATCAAAAACAAAACTGACAAGCTAGCTAATGCATTTTTTTTTATTATTATTATTTTCTACCACAGACGAGGCCACACATTTACAATGCTAACCAGCATAAATATATTTTCTTCTGTCCTCCATGGACAGGGTTAGAGATGTGTTAAACATATAGTTCATGGGTTTATTGAACAATCAACCACAGAAGGTGATTCGGTGTTTTTAAAATGCTAAGCTAACATACATACGTAAATACATAGATACACAGATTTACGTATGCCCTACATAAAGTGTTCGATGTGTCTTTTACATAGTGTCATTAATGTGCATTTACAAAGGTGAAATGTAATTCTGATCAGCTTCCATATATGCTTTATACACATACAGTACACACACATATACGTACATATACATATATATACACACACACACACATGCATTCACATACATTTGTCAATTTTACTCTGACAGGGTGAGATATCTGATAGAGAAACTAGTGTGCAATTAAGCACTTAATCACTGAAGGTGATGAAGGTGCTTTTACAAGCTCAGGTTATATAGTTACATCACATACATACATTGTATAATTGATACATTACATGGTTAATCTTGGGTACAAGTCCAATATATCATAAAGTGTTCCAGTACTCGTATAGTAATTACACAGTTCAGCATACCCTAGCCCAGGAGGGCGAAAGTCAGTCAATATGGGACATTCTACAATATAATGTTCAAGAGAGTGCATGTTTTTTCTTTCACAAAGTTGACACATTGTGTACTCGACATTTGGGTTTGAGAAAGCTGCCAGATACGTCTATATCCCAGGCGTATTCTGGCCACTATAACATCACATTGCCGGGTTCTTGTTCTAGTAGTCCCATATGTGAATGTCTCCTCACGATATCTATCATAATATTTAATGCTACAACTTTCCGGTCTTTGTGAATTTGTTAGGTCTGAGAGATCTTATTAGATATTTGTTTAAGTATTCTCTTTGTCACTACTAATGAAACACCCATATCAATTTCTACCACTGGTTTTCTGCAGGCTGTCTTTGCAAGCATATTAACAGTGTCATGCCTTGAGATGCCAACATGTGATGGTATCCATAGGAATTATGCATTAAATGACTACCTCTCTCCATTTGTCACCTGGAAGGATCCAAGAGGAAATGGGCTCCAAGCACCCAAGTGGAATACCAAAAGCTCCAGACCTCATACTGGTAGAATTTATAACAGAGAAGACTGCTACAAATGCAGGGCTCATTCCAGATATCTTGTGCCCCAGGAAATTCAATAGTTCAGCAAGGCTAAACCACTCAAACTATGAACAGAAACTGGAGCCATGGAACTGGGCAGCACAAAGTAAAAAGAGAGAATGGTATAAGTTGCCAAGTCCAGCAGAGCATAAAAAGCACTTCACTGTATCTACTAGACACAGCAAAAGATGGAACCCAGGCCAAGCCAACAATGCTAGAAAGATTATAGATCCCTGGGGAAACTCACAAAATTCACATACTGTACAGCTAAAAAGGAGGTGTGATGCAGAATTCAAAGCTGATTATAACAGACATCGAAAAAGGCACAAGAGTCATACCAAAGATGCAAAGTGCACTGTTCAGCAACACAGATGCCTAAAGCAATAGCCAACTAAAACATCACCTGCAGCCTATAAGCATCTGAAGAAGAAAACCTCTATGAACTGAGGAGGAACGGCTACTCCAAGAACCCGTGCAATATCACACCCCTCACCAGGAGAGAAAGGCCAATCAATAACACATTTACTGTCATTCAGTCAAAAAGCAATGAAAAGCCACCAAAAGACTGTTTTAGCAAACAAAAAATGGAGATTAACTAGGTCAGCCTCCTCTTCCAAGACATGAAAAGCACTGCAAACACCAGGCAACAAAGAATGGCAGGAAAGCCAGAGTTATCTTGAAAGAACCGAATGCCAAGGTGAAAATTTTAGTCTCCGAAATAGAATGAGAAGAAAAAAATGTCCCCAGAATCTGTAAAACACCAAGGCAATCTCCTTCCCTCCAAACCTGTAACTGAAGAGAAAGGAGGATAAGGAGAAACTCCCTGATGAAAAAATGGCCAGAAGGCAACTCACTCAAAGATTCAGGGCAACTGCTGATTCCATTGGTCCCTTAAAAAAATGGAGGGTTAGAACCTCACACTCATGTGGACTACAGTACAAGTAAACCAGAAATTATTAGAGGGACTGGTTCCAAATCTGCACATACATATATACCTCCTTTGTGAGAAAGGGTGCATGAACACACAAGCCACAGATAACTAAGTACTCATATTTGACCTGGCCAGGAGTCGAACCCATGCCATCCAGGATCACCCCTAAACGTACACAGTACTGTAACCACCACACTTGAATGGTGTGGTGGTAGTGTAGAATAGTAGATGATCAATGGTGTGGTGGTCATGGTACTGTGTATGTTTAGGGGTGATCTTGGACGGCATTGGTTCGAATCCTGGCCGAGTCAAATATGAGTTCATAGTGATATAACTCCTTATGAGACCAGGAAGCATGGCAGGAAATACAAAATAGCCCCATTGTAAAGCAGAGGTGCAGTAGGCATGCCAAGAGACAATTCTGGTAACATTAAAGGACCAAGACATTTCCATGCACTCCCTCCATGTAACAGGAGCATAATTAGCTGACCTCTCATGGTGTCCAAAAGAGATCTAGATAAACATCACCAAAAGGTACCTCATAAATCATGCTGCAATTCAAATGTCAAACTGCAAGCAGCAACATCTAACAGTCTGGTTGACCAGACCACCAACCAGGAGGCCTTGTTTTGTTCTACTTACCATCACAAAGTACGTAGAGAAACCTACTGAATTACAAATAAATTTTCATACAGTACCTTTCTAATACAGAAAATTCCCTCTTTAAATGCTATATACAGTAGCTTTGAAAATACATGCAAATAAAGTGCCCCCTAAAGAAAAAATACTCACTGCTGTCAGGCTTATGTAGAGAATTCAAATACTTACATCTCGATTTAAAATGTGGTAGTTAATCCCAGGGAAGAGAGGTAGAACGTTCGTGAGAGCATCAACATTCTCACGACAAGTAAAAAACTCCAAATAGGCTTTTTGGTACACGTAGCCACCTGGCATCCCCCATCCAACAACTGGGTCCTCACTGCTTGCTCCATTCACATTTGGCTGTCACGATGTGTAAAAAAAATTTAATAAGCTTTGTTAATATAATTTAAACAAAAAACCAGCATTGAATGTAATGAAACGCCATTTTCTGGGTGAGCCCCAGAGGCTCTTTGGAACTATCGGGCTAAAGTGAGATATATTAGACTGGGGCATTAGTCTATGGTAAGCCCCTCTTTTCCTTATCTTTGAGTATGTAGCTCCAAGGAGTCATAGGGGCTTCCCACAAAAAATGTACACCCTTTCATTTAATATTGTTAGTCTCGTCATACAGTAAATATTTCTCTTGCCTCAAAATCAGTGATGGCTCATGAATATATTGATACAAATAAAATACCTATACAGTATATGTATTTGGAATAATTAGCCATGACTTTTTTTTCACTAAGCCTGTCAATGTTGGTGACAAGAATTATGATTACAGTACTATAGTATATCTAAATAGCAATCATGCCTTTGAAGTTGAATAGCCTAATTCATTTAAGGATACATCAAGCACAGTTGAGATAAAACAATAAAAAAAACTGCAGTAGCATGTAACGAACCTGAGAGTTGATGGTGAGGACTCCCCGTTTGTTGAAGTCTGCCAGCTTGTCTCTGAGCAACGAAGTCTCGGAACTTAGCTCATCATCATTCCATGGCACCTGGTTATATATGTTTGTTACTACAAAAGTCTTGGAAATGTGTGCATTTAATTAAGTATCCATCAGTCTCCTGAGACTGATGGATGCCTACTACTAACTCTTACATCATCGAATGTAACTAGGCTTTAACCTGTGATTTCTTCCTGTGCTCAGATCACCTTTTGCAATTGTTTCTTACGAGTTTTCAATACATTTTCTTCTTCACGTGCACCAGGATGAAGGAATTTTACGATAATTTCAGCATTTGTTTCAACTGAGGAATAAAATGAACCTGGTGTAAAAGACAGCTCAGGTTTGATAAGGATGAGAAAAATCATTGACTCTTCAGGCATATAAGCAGTAGCTTGTGTTGCTTCTAGTTCTGCCTATTAATACTGGGCTGTGTTGTACTACTGTACTCATAGTACTGTGATACCAACACTGGCCTGTGTTGTACTACTGTACTCATAGTACTGTGATACCAACACTGGCCTGTGTTGTACTACTCTACTCATAGTACTGTGATACCAACACTGGCCTGTGTTGCACTACCGTACTCATAATACTATGTACAGACAACTGTCTACTTTCAGTTGTATAATGAACTACTATGTATTGATAATTATTCTCATATTATTGCAAATTATATGATAAAAATTTAAATATATTCCCAATACTAATAAGCTGGATTTTGTTCTATACCCGACAAAAGTTGATTATGAATCTTTTGAAATGTAGTTTTGTCTGGAAGACATAAAACTACCTTTCAAAGGTACCAAGTTCAATCCCCAGGCAGGCCAGCAATGTTTGGGTATGTTTCTTTTCACCTGATTGCTCTTTCTTCACCTACAGTAAATAGGTCCCTAGGAGTCAGGCAACTGTTGTGGTTTGCATCCTGGGAAAGGTCAGTAGCTGACCTGGGGAGACCTCAAGGTACCAAAGTACAGGCTTGCTGTTCCAACAAAGAACATTATTATACTGTGCAGATGAAGAATCACACTAATGTGGCTGAAAAATGTTGACTAAACCACACACTAGAAATTGAAAAGAGACGACGACATTTCGGTCTGTCCTGGACTATTATGAAGTCGATTGTATTACTGTATGATCCAGGACGGACTAAAACATCGTCGTCTCTTCAATTTCTAGTGTGTGGTTTGGTCAACATTATTATACTGTATGCGACAATTATATTTTTCGTTATATACTCGCGTAGTATTCACCATTAGCCAACTAGGCAAGTACTGTACCTTAGTGATCTTGCGGCCAGTCTTGTTACAGCTGCCAGTAAGGTAAGCATGGAACACATCCCACACATCCTGCTCAGTCTCCAGAGATTCTCCCCACATAGCTAACAACTGCTCCTTGGAGCTTTTGCTCTGTAAACCAAAAAAAAATTCAGTTAAATAACATTACAATTGCTTAAAATAGTGTGTGTGCACTTAGTGCCTTTGTAACAAAATTATAAGTCAAACATTTTAAGCAATGAAATGTACCCGTTTTAATATTTTGTATTTTAATAAATCACTGTCATTATTTTATTATACAATGTGTGTATTGTCTATGTTAATGTAGAGAATTAGCGACACGATAAGAGGTTAAGCAATCCTTTTCTTAGCTGCCACCTTTCCACTGAAGGCATAGAATTCCCAACTAGCCAAGAAGCAAAGGGGACTGGATATCTCAATCACAAAGGGACAGAAGTACAAATCTCAAAAATAATAAAGATCAAATACAGTAGTAAATTCCCCATCTCACAATTCCAAAAAGAGGATGTCTAGTACAGAAGCAGCTCCCCATCTGACAACTGATACCACAGCAAGTTCCATTGTGCTCGGGAAGAAGGAATACTTAACCATGTGTACCTCTGTAGAACTAGAATATCTGTCCCTGAAAAAGCATGATGAACCGAACGTGAAATGGAGTAGAGATGAAATCATAGAAAACTAGGAAAGGAAAAGGAAAAATATTCCCCACCCAGAGAAGAGTACCATCCAGTCTGGAAACCAAAACCAAGAGAGTTTGGTAGGTCAGCTCTGTAGCCTCCGCAGGGCTGGCCTCCAGCCGAACACCCTCCAACACAAAGAAAGAGTCACACGTGGAAATCAGACCTGGAGCCACACATCTCAACCCAAATTTGTGTGAATTCAAATTAAATTTGATTTTCCAGGAACAGACTTCTTTTCATAATTAAAGTTTTTTTTTTTTACAAATGTAAGTACTGTACTGTACTATGTATGGGTCAGGTCGGCCATCAAAGCTAATTATGTTAGTGTTTTTTCTGAAAATATAAATACATTACAATAGTAAAGCTCACAGTTCACACAATTTTCAGCAAGATCCAAGCTAATTTATAAGTTACATATCCTAACTTGAGTTAAAACATCACTTTGTACAATGATTCTATTATTGAAGATGAACTTCCTCACGCATGAAATATGCGTGAGGCAACTCACGCAGACTTACCTTAAGGTAAAACAAATAGTAATCTTTCAGTTCACCAAAAGCCGGAGACTCAGAACTGCCCCATCTTCCATTAGGGAACTCGTCCCAATGCTGTGTTCTGTTACAAAATTAACTACAATAAGATACATTAAATCTAGCATGCTACTAAACTATCTTATAATATGTGTAAGGTAATAAATGTACATCAATTCTGAGGATAATACATCAATATTCATACAACAGAAACATTAACAAATTTGCAGACGAATAAAATGGCCAGAAACAAATGCAGACTCAGTACATATGAAGAACTTTAAAATGGATAAAATACTACTAGATGCAGTTTAATACTAACAAATATAGGGTTATGAGTGTACATGATGGAACAGAATAAATAGATATAAGCTCAACAGCATTGAAATTGCAAAATCTAAATGTGAAAATTATATGGCAGTCATGGTTGGTAGGAATCTTAAGTAAAAAATTATCAATACATAAATGTTAGAAATGAGGCAAATAGAAAACTTGGATTCATATTTAGAAGCATTATTAAAAGAAATCTAATGTTATTTTCAGCTAAATCTTGCCTTTGTTAGGCTTCATTTACATAAGAACATAAGAACAAAGGCAACTGCAGAAGGCCTGTGTCGTGACGCTGAACATAAGAACATAAGAACAAAGGTAACTGCAGAAGGCCTATTGGCCCATACGAGGCAGCTCCTATTCTATAACCACCCAATCCCACTCATATACTTGTCCAACCCGTGCTTGAAACAATCGAGGGACCCCACCTCCACAATGTTACGCGGCAATTGGTTCCACAAATCAACAACCCTGTTACTGAACCAGTATTTACCCAAGTCTTTCCTAAATCTAAACTTATCCAATTTATATCCATTGTTTCGTGTTCTGTCCTGTGTTGATACTTTTAATACCCTATTAATATCCCCCCGGTTATGTCCATTCATCCACTTGTAAACCTCTATCATGTCACCCCTAACTCTTCGCCTTTCCAGTGAATGCAACTTAAGCTTTGTTAATCTTTCTTCATATGAAAGATTTCTAATTTGGGGAATTAACTTAGTCATCCTACGCTGGACACGTTCAAGTGAATTTATATCCATTCTATAATATGGCGACCAAAACTGAACTGCATAATCTAAATGGGGCCTAACTAGAGCAAGATATAGCTTGAGAACCACACCAGGTGTCTTGTTACTAACGCTGCGATTAATAAATCCAAGTGTCCGATTTGCCTTATTACGAACATTTATGCATTGATCCTTTTGTTTTAAATTCTTACTAATCATAACTCCCAGATCCCTTTCGCAATCCGACTTCGCAATCACAACACCATCTTAATGAACCCCGGTTCATTAAGATGGTGTTCATTCATCGCTGTGTTCTGAATGAACCCCGGTTCATTCAGAACACAGCGATTATACAACACATAACACCTTGCCTCAGCAACCGTTACTACCACCTATACTCCTACACACACCAGACCCTTGAGGCGTACCACTCGGTTTGTACTGGAACACAATGAATGAACATATGGAAGGTATTTAAAGGCCGTCGGGTTTTGTCATTTAATTACAAAGAATAGACTCTGACAAATAAATACATATTAACATACTCTATTAGGTCAATACACTTCCAATACCCATAGACCACTTGACCTCCACGATCACCACCCACACTCGTAACTTCCGCCTAAGTCCCTAATACGGAATGATTACTACAACGCTCCACACCCGGTTAGTCTTTCATTCAATACTCACATACTGCAGACTTAACTTGGTCACTAAGATCACATCAGGTTCTCGCATAGCTGTCTGCTACACTTCGTTGCTGCCGCAAACGGGGATCCAAAGGACTTGCTAGTTCAACTCCCACAATCAGACTGACTCCAGTCAGCCATGGCCTCAAACATTTCACCCCGCCTCTCAAGGAAGGTATAATCCGATTCACCTTATCCCTAGAGCGATAACCTTGATCCTAGAAGCCTGACTAAGAATAATTCCTCTTTCCAGGAATTATTAATTTGGCTAAACAGCTTCGGTCTTAATCCATTGACCTTTCTTAGATATGTGATCCATAGTCTGTCTACTTACATGTACTTCCAATCATCATTCGTTAAGTGTTGTAGTAATGATCCTCTAGCTAATAATTCCTACTAACTTGTGGATTACAACACCTGTTGGCCCATACGAGGCAGCTCCTATTTATAACCACCCAATCCCACTCATATACTTGTCCAACCCGCGCTTGAAACAATCGAGGGATCCCACCTCCACAATGTTACGCGGCAATTGGTTCCACAAATCAACAACCCTGTTACTGAACCAGTATTTACCCAAGTCTTTCCTAAATTTAAACTTATCCAATTTATACCCATTGTTTCGTGTTCTGTCTTGTGTTGATACTTTTAATACCCTATTAATATCCCCTTTGTTATGTCCATTCACCCACTTGTAAACCTCTATCATGTCACCCCTAACTCTTCGCCTTTCCAGTGAATGCAACTTAAGCTTTGTTAATCTTTCTTCATATGAAAGATTTCTAATTTGGGGAATTAACTTAGTCATCCTACGTTGGACACGTTCAAGTGAATTTATATCCATTCTATAATACGGCGACCAAAACTGAACTGCATAATCTAAATGGGGCCTAACCAGAGCAAGATATAACTTAAGAACCACACCAGGTGTCTTGTTACTAACGCTTCGATTAATAAATCCCAGTGTCCTATTCGCCTTATTACGAACATTCATGCATTGATCCTTTTGTTTTAAATTCTTACTAATCATAACTCCCAGATCCCTTTCGCAATCCGACTTCGCAATCTCAACACCATCTAGCTCGTATCTTGTAACTCTATCATCATTACCTAGCCTCAGAACTCTATATTTATCAGCATTAAACTGCATTTGCCAATCCTTTGACCATTTCAAAACCCTATCTAGATCAACTTGAAGTGATAGCGAGTCCTCCTCCGAATTAATTTCCCTACCGATTTTCGTATCATCGGCAAATTTGCAAATGTTGCTACTCAAACCTGAATCTAAATCATTTATATATATTATAAACAACAGAGGTCCCAGGACAGAGCCCTGAGGTACTCCACTAACAACATTATCCCACTCTGACTTAACCCCATTTATACTAACTCTCTGTTTCCTTTGGAATAGCCATGCCCTAATCCAAGTTAGTATAGCACCACCAATACCATGAGCTTCTATTTTTTTAATTAGTCTTTCATGTGGCACTGTATCAAAAGCTTTGCTAAAGTCAAGGTACACAACATCACAATCCTTACCACTATCAACTGCCTCAACTATGCTGGAATAAAAAGTTAGCAAATTTGTTAAACATGAACGGCCATTTGTAAAACCATGTTGCGACTCATTTATTAATTTATGTTTTTCAAGATGGAGACGAATTGTATTTGCAATTATTGATTCAAGTAACTTTCCCACAATAGACGTTAGGCTAATTGGCCGATAGTTTGACGCAAGTGATCTATCTCCTTTCTTAAAAATTGGTACCACATTAGCTACCTTCCATGACTCTGGCACTCTGCCTGACTCTATTGATTTATTAAATATGGTAGACAGTGGCTCGGAAAGCTCCTCTTTGCATTCTTTAAGCACCCTGGCAAACACTTCATCCGGCCCTGGGGATTTGTTTGGTTTTAGTTTTTCTAATTGTTTAATTACATCCTCCCTGGTAACTGCTAAACTAGTCAACCTGTCCTCATCCCCACCCACATAGACTTGTTCGGCTGAAGGCATATTGTTAAGTTCTTCTTTAGTAAATACAGATATAAAATATTTATTAAAAATACTACTCATCTCCTTGTCATTATCCGTTATTTGACCTGTCTCAGATTTTAATGGACCTATCCTTTTCCTAGTCTTAGTTCGATATAACTGAAAAAACCCTTTAGGATTTGACTTTGCTTGCTCTGCTATGCGAACTTCATAGTTTCTTTTTGCTTTCCTAATCTCTTTTTTAACATTTCTAACCAGTTGTATGAATTCCTGTTCTAACCTGACTTCCCCATTCTTAATCCTTTTGTACCAAGCTCTCTTCTTACCTATAAGGTTCTTTAAATTATTTGTTATCCACTTTGGGTCATTAGTATTCGACCTATTCAATTTGTATGGTATACTACGTTCCTGTGCTTTGTTTAGAATATTCTTAAATAAGTTATATATTAAATCCACATCGAAATCCCCTTTTACGTCACCTATCGCTGGGTTCATGTCTCGCTCTAAGACCGGCCCACACCCCATACCCAAGAGTTTCCAATCTATTTGACCCAAAAAATTTCTTAGGCTATTAAAATCAGCTTTACGAAAATCTGGCACTTTAACAGAATTTTCTCCTACAGGTCTAATCCATTCTATGCTAAATCTGATTACTTTGTGATCACTGTTCCCTAGCTCACTCCCTATTTCGATGTCATTAATTTGTGTTTCCCTGTTAGTTAACACTAAATCTAAAATATTATTTTCCCGCGTTGGTTCCTTAATGTGTTGCGTAAGAAAGCAATCGTCAATTAATTCTAGAAAATCTTCTGCTTCACTATTCCCTGTTTTGTTCACCCAGTTTATTCCACTAAAATTAAAGTCACCCATGACATAAATACTGTTAGATCTAGATGCTCTAGATATTTCATTCCATAGATGCTTTGCTTCCATTCTGTCTAAATTTGGTGGCCTATATATAACTCCTATTATAATATTATTTGCTTTTTCATTTAATTCTATCCAAATAGTTTCTGTGTGTGGCTCAGTTTTGATTCCCTCTTTGAGACTACATTTCAAATTGTCCCTAACATATATGGCTACTCCTCCTCCTCGTCTAATATATCTATCTGTGTGAAATAGTTTAAATCCATTTATCTGATATTCAGCTAATAGTTCTCTATTTTCTACGTTCATCCACGTTTCGGTAAGTGCAATAATATCTATTTTTTCTGTGCAGACAAGAGCATTTAATTCATTAATTTTATTTCTTAGACTTCTACTGTTAGTGTAATATATCCTAAGTGAATTGTTATTTTGAGGCCCTTTTCTTTCCCTGATCATTTTGCCAATTCTTTTCTCCCACGAACACATACTTTTATTACCTCCTTCCTCCAAATCAATTCCCATACCACTATCTACTAACAGTTTAAACCCAAACAAACACCTCTAACCGCTGGTTCCAACGAGTTCGCAACAGCAACAACCCCAGCCCTCGATAGATGCACACCATCACGAGCATACATTTTATTTCTTCCATAGAAGTGTTCCCAGTTGTCTATGAAAGATATTGCATTTGATTTGCAATATCTTTCCAGCCGGCAAGTGACACCAAGTTAGATTATACAATTCAATTTTAGGCACCATATATATAATTTCCCTTGAAAATAAACAGAAAAGGATAGCAAAATTAATCCCAGAAAGTAGAAACTTCTTATATGAATCAAAATTACATTCTCTTCAAATATGAACAGTAAGATGCAATATGATTAAGTACAGTATACAAATGGATGAAAGGTGTTATTTAATATGGTGCTAAATATATCAACACTAAACAAAAGACAAAACAATGGATATAAATTGGATACATTTCAATTCAGAAAAGCGCTCAGTAAATACTGGTTTGAACAAAGAGTTTTAGATTTATAAAACAATTTGCAAAATAATAAAACAGGTATGGAATGAGCCGATTGTTTCAAGTGAAGGTTAGGCATGAATAGGAGCGAGTTTGGTTGGGTGACAATAGGCAATGTCTTCTATGAGCAACAGGCCTTCTGCAGTTTCCCTTATTCCTATGTTCTTATATAAACCAATGATGGCCAATACAAATTTTAGAATATATACCTGTACTAGAATAAATAAGAAAAACAGCAAAAATTATCTAACCTGTAAACGTAGGCCTTTGGCCGGGAAGCCCAGAAAATGGGACGCACATCCTCTCCTCTTCTCTTATGGTTGGCAGCCATTTTCCAGGGCAGTGGTCGTCTAGGGGCTGCCGCCCAGAGCCCCAACTGCTTCAGAATGGCTGTAGTTGCTACCTCTCTGAACAAGGAATTGCACATCTTAAAAAATTTGCAAAAAACCCAGCTTTGAATGTAATGAAACGCCATTTTTTGGGTGAGCACCTGAGGCTCTCTGGAGCTATCGAACTGATATTAGCTATATTAGTCTGGAGCTTCAGTCATATGAAGTTCTTATGCCTACCAGGAACCACGAGCCAGAACCTGGTTCTCTCAGAAAAGAAAAGGAGCAATGGCCTATGAAAACTCCACTCTTTGAGAGTATTTTCATGTGTGCCATCAACCGGGGTTAGGCACCCAGAAAGGTAGGTGCCCTAAAACAGACCCCAACTGGTAGAAAAGTGCAACCCAAGACCAAACAGAGCCCAAGAACTCCAAGAAAAAACAAGGTAACAAGCAAATTGTCATCAACTCAACATGCAGCTCATTCAACCCCCCCCTACTTGGGGGGGAGGGGGAGGCATGCTGAGTGAGTGGTTATTTGCTTGTTTTAGTTACCTTTTGGGAGGGGTTCATGGGCACTGTTCGGTTTTAGGTTGCAATATTTTACCAGTTGGGGTTTAAAATGGTCCTCCTACCTTTCTGGGTGATACCCCCGGTCAATGGCAGACATGACTATACTCTTACAAAGTAGAATGTTCATGTGACTTATGAACGCTCCATTCGCCTCTCTTTGCTAACTTCTCCTCTCTGAGGGAACCAGGTTCTGGCTCATGGTTCCCAGTAGGCAAAGAACTGCAATTAACTGATGCTTTAGACTAATATAATGGATATCAGTCTGTTACCTGCATGGACCCAACGGGGCGCCCCCCCCCCACCCCCTAGAAAGTGTTAAAAGTTAAGTTTATTGAAATAAGGTGATGATTACAGGGAGAAGTAGCACTAATATCTGTCACACTAGTGTATGCTAATGTTTTAATTTTATTAGGTAAAGTGCACAGTGGGAATGGTAAATTAATATAGGTAAAATTAATATATTCCCTCTATTGCTGAAATAGAGGGAATACAGAGAACATATACGGCACGCATAGATGAGATAAAACACCTAAATTATTGGGATCGTCTCAAATCTCTCCAAATGTACTCTCTAGAAAGGAGACGAGAGAGATACCAAATAATATACACATGGAAAATACTGGAGGGCCAGGTCCCAAATCTACACAGTAAAATAACAATGTACTGGAGTGAACCATATGGAAGAAAATGCAAGATTGAACCAGTGAAGAGCAGAAGTGCCATAGGCACAATCAGAGTGCACTGTATAAACATCAGAGGTCCGCGGTTGTTCAACATCCTCCCAGTGACTATAAGAAATATTGCCGGAACAACCGTGGACATCTTCAAGAAAAAACTGGACTGTTTTCTAAGAGAAGTTCCGGATCAGCTGGGCTGTGGTGGGTATGTGGCCCTGTGGGCCGCTCCAAGCAACAGCCTGGTGGACCAAACTCTCACAAGTCGAGCCTGGCCTTGGGCCGGGCTTGGGGAGTAGAAGAACTCCCAGAACCCCATCAAGCAGGAAACAAGCAGGTAATATCAAATATGCATGTGACAACTGTATAAGGGAAATGCAAATTAGAGCAAAATTTTAGCCGTTTTTAGTTGCTAAATTGTAACTAGATAAATGCACTCACCTGTTAAGAGTATAAAAGTGAACCCCAGGTGCCATTTCTGCATCAAACAACTCCCTTATAAGCATACACGTTTGATGAATTCCATAATTTCTGATAGCTTCATCGTTGTCTTTTAGAGGAGCCACAACATCCATAATGTCCTGTGGCACGTCAAGTTTGGAGAGTTTGACGATGTGTCGCAGAGAGTCATAACTCTGTATAGGCATTATGCCTGGAATGATGGGGCAATTTATGCCTAGTCTTTTACAATCTCGGACAAATTTGATGAATGTTTGAGCCTTAAAAAACAGCTGTGTGATGATAAAGTTAGCCCCTTCATCTACCTGCAACCGTTAAAGGTAACATGGTGTCAAAGTCAATAAAAAATCAATCATTAAATGTAATGAAACACCTTTACTGGTGAGGCCCTCAGTATCTTCCTGAGCTAAGGTGTTGGCACAGTATATCACCAAAAAACTGACAAGAAAAACCGATGCAAAAGCACAAAAAAGTAACCAATTGCTTGAAGAAAATTAGGTAACCAGAGGAAATAAAGCAAAAGATCATTGATGTGGAGAATACACCCTAATCGAGATGTGCCCAACTGCTCCGAAAAGACAGCCCAGATCATCCAAAGCTCCAGCCAACCTATCCACTCACTCACTCACATGCCCAAACCCCTCCATCCCACGAGGAAGTAGGGAACAAGAACTGATACTACAGCCCACAAGCCAAATGAAGGGAAAGAAGCCAAACCCAGAATGGAAAGAGGAAAACCCGGAGACTGTGCTAGATTACCAGAGATGCCACAAACCCAGAGAGCAAGGAAATGTAAACCCAGTGGTGGCACTTCAGAAAGAAAATTGAGTTGGATCCAATGCAAAATCCAAAGCCAATCCCACCAACTGAAAATGATACAGGAGAAAAGACAACAAAACATTGTATATAGTGGAACCGAGCCATGAACCCGAGACCTAGAAATACATCCAAGGAATGGTGCTGAAGAGGCCCCAGCAATTGACTTGTAGGGAAGATGAAACAAGCCTCAAGGGAGAACATGCTCTCGGGCCTACCAGAAACAAGGCCATATAGACTAAGACAGCTAGCACAGGACCTCCATAAATAAACCATCCCAAAAACAAGAAAACACACCCTTGCTAATTGCAAGGTAAGGTCATGATTAGAAACTATGACACCCCTTCACAGCCCAAACAGAGGACACCTACCCCACCCCATAAAAGACGAGTCCCCTTGGAAACACTGAAAACCAGGGGCAGCTAGAACAAAGGTAGGCTTCAAACTTGTAATCAAAACACCTAAGGAAACAGCCCAAGTGCTGCCACCACCAATTCACTATCGCAATAACTAGGGACACAAACCGAAGCCCAACAGGGCCCCAGTTAGCAGGAAAAGACAAGAATCTGGATAATACCACCAATCCCTATCCAGAGGTGGTGGTCCACATAGAGCACTTGGAGTAAGAAGAACTTCATTGACAGACAGGTTTATCACACTTAGAAAACAAAGTAAGGACACACAACAAAGCCGCAGGCCATGAATAGTGGGGTCTCCAGCCATGGTCACAAAGGTAGAGACCATCAGCCACAATCACAGCACAAGCCTGCTACAGCTCCAACAAAGGCAGAGACCATCAGCCACAATCACAGCACAAGCCTGCTACAGCTCCAACAAAGGCAGAGACCATCAGCCACAATCACAGCACAAGCCTGCTACAGCTCCAACAAAGGCAGAGACCATCAGCCACAATCACAGCACAAGCCTGCTACAGCTCCAACAAAGGCAGAGACCATCAGCCACAATCACAGCACAAGCCTGCTACAGCTCCAACAAAGGCAGAGACCATCAGCCACAATCACAGCACAAGCCTGCTACAGCTCCAACAAAGGTAGAGACCATCAGCCACAATCACAGCACAAGCCTGCTACAGCTCCAACAAAGGCAGAGACCTTCAACAGCAGATCAGGGGTGGGAAGAGAACAGCCTTCCATCAACAGATGGAAAGTCTGCAATTGCAAAATCAAATATTTAATGATGGAAATGGAGAGGAAGCCAAAACAATCTGAGCAAGAAGTTTACCAAGACCAAAGAGACAAGGTAAACTGGTCTCCTGGACCATCCTGCAGACAGTCAAGAGTGCCAGGCAAGATGGAAATGTTGAACAAACCTTGAACCCCTGATCATTAACACCTGGTGAGAAAATGCCGATGCAGTCACAGACAAGAACAATAACTTACGTAACCCAAGCACACCTTCGGCGAAAGTGCACAAGGAATAAGGTTAGGAGTGATCACATAATAGGTATATAGCTAACTACTATTCACAACATCAACAAACCTCATAGTGAACAAGTCTCATGAGCTACCCAAAATTGGACTCAAAAGGAGTCGGCTCAGAGAGGAGCAGCAACCCAAATCCCTCAGACCAGGTATCTCTGAGGGGCCTACAGTCACGCACCCACACATTGTTGGTGGTATAAAACCACAAACATGAAGGAGAAGGGAAACAATAACAAAGCAATGGCCCCCAGAAGATTACTGTTACAGTGAAGAGGATGGGTCCTGTCTGAGGATCCGTGTTTCCTAAACTGTAACGAGGGGAGTGAGTGAGGGTACAATCTGGCTTGAGCCTCACACGACCTGGCCTGCCATCTAGTAGCCATCAGGCTACCAGATACTGTTAGGGTGTGTTATAACAGTGTGTTACTGCTAACACACTGTTAGGGTGTTTATCTCGCAGCAGCAATTGTTTGCCTTATTACATCTAGATACCTAATACTCTTCAAGCAGTTGCCCGATTTGTTACCTTTATGTTTTTTCTGGTGATTTTTTTTCTCAATTTTGAGTTGATCGATCCCAAAGATTCCTTTGCCTTGTAGAGAAAGTCAGATTCTTATCCTGGCTCTCAGTAGGTCTAGTGCATCCTTCCAAGGTATGGGAGTATCAATGTTTAGCTCGGGAAGATACTGACAGGTCCCTCTCAAAAACTGAACATATATGAACACACACAAGTACACATTTTACAGTACTCTACAGTACATAAAATATATATAGTTTAAAATGCAAAAAAATTGTAGAAGAGGAGTGTTATGCCAGATTGAATGATGTGGAAAGAAATCTGCATAATAAATAATTCAGCATTTAATACATGATGTCTGGCTGTATTAAAAGCTTAGAAGATAACTATCTCAAGTAAACATTTTTAAATAAAAAATATTTAATTGAAGCCAATATGAACAATGAAGAAAATTCTTGCACTACAAGAAAGTTAGAGAAAAGATGTTTTTAGAAAATTTATCTAATGCATTCATTGTTTAATATGGAAATTAAAAAGCCAAACCAACTGACCTTCTGTTTCAGATACTTTAAGTCATCCTCATAAGATGTGGCCTCAGGGTGACCCATGGGGTAGCCAGCAACACATATTACGAAATAGTCACCAAACTCCTTTCTAATGTGCCTGACTAGATCTGTGGCATAACTAAACCCATCCTTAGGAGGGACCCAATCTTCATCAACATGCGGGGTATCTGGAAAAAAAAAGCATTAAATGTAATAAAGTGCCCTTTTCTGGGGGATACCCCACAGCTCCCTAAACTTAAATCTGGTACCATCAAGTCTTAATCAACCACACCAGGCCTTAGAGACCCATCTGTCAACTAGCGGAAGCCAGGACTACAATCTGGCTCACTCTATAAGGTGAGGTGAGCAAGCATATCAGAAATCAACAACAAAACTATATAAGCTCCAGAAAGAATAGGTAAACAAAAAAAGGGTTTTCATGGGGAAAATAAGGCACTCAGAAGAAATCAAAGCAAGTGAATCAGCAGCGATTTATTTTCAGGGTAAATACCCTAACCGTTATCAGATGGCAACTCAAATCTCCTAGGGTCTCAGCCAGCCTGCCACACTAACTCTGGACCTGCCCATGCAACATCCCACAAGAAAGAATGTAACATGAATTGAACTGGGAGTCACTGGGGGTCCAACAGAAAAGATCATTTCATTATATTCGATACTCATATTCTAGGAGAAACCTCTTGGTTACTCCTCAAGCTTACTAACAATGGTGCTTTAGCTGAAGAGGTTGAATTTTTTGGGGAAAAAGAAAAGGTAGACAGGGCTGATCTGTGTGAGAGGAATAGCAGAGAAGAATAGCAGGAGAGGAGCGCCTGGGACGAAGAAAGACAGCGGTGTGCCAAAACGGAGGCTGAAAAACATCCACGAAGAAATGAGAGGCCAAAGAAGAACGTCAAAAAAGCTGCCCAAGTAGCAAATATCCACACACCCGCAGAGCAGAAACAAGCAGCTGGCTGGCTGAACCAAACCTACGAGAAAGGCAGGTCTTAGAACATGGTACAGTATGTTAGAAACAGGAGAAACAGAACTCCAACCCTCAACATTGCAAAAATGTGCAGAAAACAGTGTAGTGACAGGACTGAATTCCTGGAACTTATGCAGGCGATGAGTCACAATAACGTGGCTAAAGTATGATGACCAGACCACACACTAGAATGTGAAGGGACGACGACGTTTCAGTCCGTCCTGGACCATTCTCAAGTCGATTGTGAAACTTGTGAATGTGAATGTGAAGATCTTCACATTCTAGTGTGTGGTCTGGTCATCCTGGAACGTAGTTCATCATGAAGACCATGACTACAAAACGTGTCTGTATCTGCAACTTTTGCACATTTCAAGTTTTGTACTGATGTACCAAACTGAATTAAATATTAACTAAAATCTATATCTTTAAATGTAATCCAAATCAAAATAAAGAAATAAAATAACCCAGCCCACACATATGAAATAAAATTAATATGACAATGTTTCAGTCCATCCTCTACTTTTATGTCATAGTTGTTACAACCCAGTAAAGGTCCAGCATGGACTGAAATATCATCACTTTCATTTCGTTTCATATCCAGGTATGTGGGTGGATTATTTGTTTCCACCTATGTTATTGTGATGTATTCATTGCATACAGAACTGCACATAAAATAATTAAAGTTAGTGTGAATTTACTTACAGTACAGTGCTTCATTTGATATTGATAAAATTTCAATTTTCAAATTATGTTCAACCATTAAATTCAAGATTGTGATCACTGGTAAATGAATTTTCGAACATTACGATATTTGTGGAAAACTGTCAAACCTTATACGAGTTTATAACAAAATTTATGTACAAGGCAATGGTGTTACAAGCAGGGAATAATTACAGTATTAGATTTAACAAGAATACAAGCTCACCTCCTCTCAATGCTAGGATATTGCGGATACCAATGTCCTTAGCTCGCTGTAAGTGCTTCGTGATTTCCGCCTTGGTCATACTACAGCAGGTCATATGCAGCATTGTCTCCAGCCCACAGTAGTTCAGAGCCGCACCTGGATACAAGTCATACATCTTTACAAAGCTATTATGCACTGTACAGTATTAATACTGTGTATTACAGTAACTTGCTAAATTTATTTAGAAATTCTAAAACGACCATTTTAATTTGGAGAATATCAAAGGTCACAAATTAATGTACCTGCTATTGTTAAAGATGAAGTCTCTGTATCTCCCCCAGGGTTGCCAGCTGGGTGCCACGTAACATCGCAGAAGAGCGGGTTGCCTTCACGCAACCGGTCAAACCTTGTGGAATTTAAATAATAAAGTTTTACATAGTTTGTAATACATTCCCAAGCAAAACAACCGAAAGAAAAATTATTAAAAAGTAAACATTTAATGCAGCATCATGTCTTCAAAGTAACTAAATACAGTATACTGTATTACAGTAAATATATAGTGCTGTACTGCATTATATTATTTTAATATTATATATATACAGTATATATATATATATATATATATATATATATATATATATATATATATATATATATATATATATATATATATATATATATATATATATATATATATATATATATATATATATATATATATATATATATATATATATATATATATATATATATATATATATATATATATATATATATATATATATATATATATATATATATATATATATATATATATATATATATATATATATATATATATATATATATATATATATATATATATATATATATATATATATGTCGTACCTAGTAGCCAGAACGCACTTCTCAGCCTACTATGCAAGGCCCGATTTGCCTAATAAGCCGAGTTTTACTGAATTAATATATTTTCCCTAATTTTTTTCTTACGACCTGATAAAGCTACCCATTTCATTATGTATGAGGTAAATTTTGTTTTTATTGGAGTTAAAATTAACGTAGATATATCACCAAACCTAACCAACCCTACCTAACCTATCTTTATAGATTAGGTTAGGTTAGGTAGCCGAAAAAGTTAGGTTAGGTTAGGTTAGGTAGGTTAGGTAGTCGGAAACCAATTACTTCATAAAAACTTAGCTTATTAGGCAAATCGGGCCTTGCATAGTAGGCTGAGAAGTGCGTTCTGGTTACTAGGTACGACATATATATATATATATATATATATATATATATATATATATATATATATATATATATATATATATATATATATATAGGTTATGGATCTCTTGAAGAACACAACAATGGGAAACATTGATGAATGTCACAGACGGGTTCGATCATTGTTGCAAGTCAAACACTTCTTCGAATTCCTCTGAAGTTGGACTAGTGCCCAAGACGCAACAGGCATTTCCCCTTTGAATCGCAACACTGAGGCGCTGGAACAAGAAACTTTTTGCTCTCTGGTCTTTTGTAGCGCTGATCAATTTGTCCCCCAATTCCTTCAGGAACTTCAATGCACATTTTCCCCACGAACCGAGGGTCTCCGAGCCGATCGGAACAAAGCTGTAGCAGTGTGCTAGACCTCTGTATTTAATAATTTTCTGCGATTCCCTGAAAGAAGCAGCACCACCGCTTTCACGTGTGCTGTAGTGGAGGTAGGTACTGGCCAGTGTGGCAGCGCACGTGTAGTCCCATACCACTTGCTTACCATCCTTCCAAGGTAGCAAGGTGACCCCATCAGGGCGCTTCTGAGGGTCGTTAGGTCTGGATATGTGTGGTTCTCTTTGTGCCGGGCAGCGGGCTGTGGCGAGGCTCCTCTTGATGATGTCGTTGACTTCTTCATGTCTTGCAATTTTACCCTGTGATTTACGACATACCAGACCATGACGACCATATTGGTCTGCCATCGCAGTTCCGCAGATGCACCTATGTTCGGTGAGGATGGGGGCGGCAAGGCGAAGGGCAACTCCAATGCGGAGAGCGTCATGACTGAGGCGAGTTCCCAGGGCTGCATTGGGCACAGCAAATAAAAAATCCCCGGCGTGGGGTGCTGTTACCGCTAGGAGGCGGGCATATATATATTATATAATATATATTATATATATATATATAATGAGATGCGAACAAGCCTGAATGGTCCCCAGGACTATATGCGACTGAAAACTCACTCCCCAGAAGTGACTCGAACCCATACTCCCAGGAGCAACGCAACTGGTATCTACAGGACGCCTTAATCCGCTTGACCATCACGACCGGACAAAAGGAAGTGATAGCCAAATCTATTTGAACCACTTCCCCGCCGGCACCCGAATGGTAATCTTGGGCATAGCATTTTATCAAATCACCTCATTCTTTGGGGTACACGTGAGGAACACAAATGCGAACAAGCCTGAATGGTCCCCAGGACTATATGCGACTGAAAACTCACACCCCAGAAGTGACTCGAACCCATACTCCCAGGAGCAACGCAACTGGTATCTACAGGACGCTTTAATCCGCTTGACCATCACGACCGGACAAAAGGAAGTGATAGCCGAAGCTATTTGAACCACTTCCCCGCCGGCACCCAGATGGTAATCTTGGGCATAGCATTTTATCAAATCACCTTATTCTTTGGGGCACACATGGGGAACAGGAGTCATTATATATAAATATATATATATATATATAAATATAATATATATAAATATATATATATATATATATAAATATATTATATATATATATATATATATATATATATATATATATATATATATATATATATAAATATATATATATATATATATATATATATATATATATATATATATATATATATATATATATATATATATATATATATATATATATATATATATATATATATATATATATATATATATATATATATATGTTGTACCTAGTAGCCAGAACGCACTTCTCAGCCTACTATGCAAGGCCCGATTTGCCTAATAAGCCAAGTTTTCATGAAATAATGTTTTTTTCGACTACCAAACCTAACTTTTTCGGCTACCTAACCTAACCTAACCTATAAAGATAGGTTAGGTTAGGTTAGGTAGGGTTGGTTAGGTTCGGTCATATATCTACGTTAATTTTAACTACAATAAAAAAAATTGACCTCATACATAATGAAATGGGTAGCTTTATCTTTTCATAAGAAAAAAATTTGAGAAAATATATTAATTCAGGAAAACTTGGCTTATTAGGCAAATTTGGCCTTGCATAGTAGGCTGACAAGTGCGTTCTGGCTACTATGCACGACATATATATATATATATATATATATATATATATATACATATATATATATATATATTATATATATATATATATATATATATATATATATATATATATATATATATATATATATATATACATATATATATATATATATATATATATATATATATATATACATATACATATATATATATATATATATATATATATATATATATATATATATATATATATATATATATATATATATATATATATATATATATACATATATATATATATATATATATACACATACACATTACACACAGTGGCCCTACTCATGAGAAAGGAATGGAGTTTTAAGGAAAAGGATATCCCAGGTTTTGAGGGATTGAGAGACTACATAGCAGGCACCATGACAATGGGAGGACCAAGAATAGTAGTAGCAGTAATATACAACCCCCCACCAAATGACAGAAGACCCAGTCAAGAGTATGAAAACAACAACATGGCAGTTAACAATATAATTGAGAGGGCAGCCTCTGTTGCCTGTAGAAATAGATCCCACCTACTCATCATGGGGGACTTCAATCACGGAAGGATTGACTGGGAGAACAAGGAACCACATGGAGGCGAGGATACATGGAGAGCCAAACTATTGGAGGTGGTGACTAGAAACTTTTTAACCCAGCATGTCAGAGAACCCACAAGGACGAGAGGAAATGACGAACCAGCAAGACTCGACCTAGTCTTCACTCTGAACGGCTCCGACATAAGAAAAATCGGTTTTGAGGACCCAGTAGGAATGAATGACCACAGTGCACTGGTGTTTGAGTAACTGATTGAAGAAGGGTTACTGAACTCGAGGAGGGATACTGAAACCAAAAGGTTAGTATACCGAAAGGAAAACTATGAGGAGATAAGAAAATTCCTAACAGATATAGCATGGGAAACAGAGCTCAGTGGAAAGACCGCCCAAAATATGATTAACTACATCACGCAGAAGTGCAAGGACACAGCAAACAAGTTTGTCCCAGTCCAAAAGGAAAACAGTGAAATGAAGGTGAGAAACCCATGGTTTAATCAGAGATGTAGGCTAGCTAAGCAGCAAAGAAAAAAGGGCATGGAGAAACTATAGGAATAACAGGACACTGGAGAGCAGAGAAAGATACCAGAATGCCTGGAATGAATATGTCAGGATGAGAAGGGAGGCAGAAAAACAATACGAAAATGACATCACAAGCAAGGCAAAGACTCAGCCTAAATTGCTGCATAGCCACATCAGGAGAAAAACAACAGTAAAGGAACAGGTTATGAAATTAAGGATAGTGGCAGAAGGATTCACTACAAACGACAAGGAAGTGTGTGGAGAAAGAGCAAGGAAGAGCAAGGAGAAATTCCAGAGATAAGAGAGGGACTGGCTAACCAGGAACCACTGGAAGAGTTTGAGATTACCAGCGGGGAAGTAAGGAAGTGTTTACTAGAGTTGGATGTGACAAAGGCTATAGGCCCAGATGGAATCTCCCCTTGGATACTAAAGGAAGGAGCAGAAGAACTGTGCCTACCATTCTCCATAATGTATAACAAATCACTGGCAACAGGGGAACTGCCAGATGTTTGGAAAACAGCTAACGTAGTCCCGATATACAAGAAAGGGGATAGACAGGAGGCACTGAACTACAGGCCAGTGTCCCTAACCTGCATACCATGCAAGCTGATGGAGAAGATTGTGCGAAGAAAGCTAGTGGAGCATCTGGAGCAAAAGAACTTTGTAACACAGCATCAACATGGGTTCAGGGATGGCAGGTCCTGCCTCACAGGATTACTGGAATTCTACGACCAGGCAAGAAAGAGAAGGGTGGGCAGACTGCATATTTTTGGATTGTCAGAAAGCCTTTGATACAGTACCACACAAGAGGCTAGTGAAAAAACTGGAGATGCAGGCTGGAGTGAAAGGGAAGGTACTCCATTGGATAAAGGAGTACCTAAGCAACAGAAGACAACGAGTCAGTGTGAGGGGCGAGGTCTCAGATTGGCGAGACATTACAAGTGGAGTCCCGCAGGGGGTCAGTCCTTGGACCTATACTGTTTCTGATATATGTAAATGATCTCCCGGAGGGTATAAAATCGTTTCTCTCATTGTTTGCTGATGATGCAAAAATTATGAGGAGGATTGAAACAGAGGATTATAGTAGGAGGCTACAGGACGACCTAGACAGACTGAATGAATGGTCCAACAAATGGCTGCTAAAGTTTAACCCTAAATGCAAAGTAATGAAACTAGGCGGTGGGAACAGGAGGCCAGACACAAGATACAGAATAGAAGACAAAGTACTTAACGAAACGGAAAGAGAGAAAGATCTAAGAATTGATATCACACCAAACCTGTCTCCTGAAGCCCACATAAAGAGAATTACGTCTGCAGCATATGTGAGGCTGGCAAACATCAGAACAGCGTTCAGGAACCTGTGTAAGGAATCGTTTAGAATCTTGTACACCACATACGTACGACCAATTCTGGAGTATGCAGCCCCAGCATGGAGCCCGTACCTTGTCAAGCACAAGACGTAGCTGGAAAAAGTTCAGAGGTATGCCACTAGACTAGTCCCAGAACTAAGAGGCACGAGTTACGAGGAAAGGCTGCGGGAAATGCACCTTACGACACTGGAAGACAGAAGAGGGGAGACATGATCACTACCTACAAAATCCTCAGGGGAATTGACAGGGTAGACAAGGACAAACTATTTAACACTGGTGGGACGCGAACAAGGGGACACAGGTGGAAACTGAGTACCCAAATGAGCCACAGGGACGTTAGAAAGAACTTTTTCAGTGTCAGAGTAGTTAACAGGTGGAATGCATCAGAGATGTGGTGGAGGCTGACTCCATACATAGTTTTAAATGTAGATATGATAGAGCCCAGTAGGCTCAGGAATCTGTACACCAGTTGATTGACAGTTGAGAGGCAGGACCAAAGAGCCAGAGCTCAACCCCCACAAACACAATTAGGTGAGTACACACACACACACACACACACAGTATATATATAGAGCAGTCTTTCTTGTAAACATATGTTGTTGAATGTGACCGAAAAGGTAAGAATAATGATTCTAACACGAATCTTCTCAATATTTCTTATGTTTTTCTTCACTGTTGAGGGAAGTTGAAAAATTTACTCTCCAAAGTTCATTTTCACAATTAATATGGTCTGATGCCTAGGGATGCATTTCGCAAGGCACTCCTTACATTTTCAAAGACAAATTTACAATGCTTTAGCAAGAGTTTATATTTTTTCCCTGATGGTGGAAACAGTAAATTGACTGGCTACTCATGTGGAGTTTACAATGTAAAAGCACCAATTCTTTTCTGCCACAAACTAGATACTCTAGGCAGGCTAAATTTTGCCTACATAATTTACCCCGTGAGTTGTATTTGTCTAAAGATGTTGACCAGGTTCCTCTGGCATCATGTTCAACACTGTTTCAGGAATCTAAGCGCTCTTCCTTGGGAATTATAAAAACTTTCCTTCATAGGAAAATTACATATTTTACTACTATAAAATATATGTTAATCCAGAAAAATATATCCAGATTTCAAGTATTTTCAACATGTGAACAAAAATCTTGGATCAAATAGGTATCATCACTGAATTTCAGTAATGAGACCATATCTACTAAGAGTTTCTTACCTGTGTAGACAATGAGTCACAATAACATGGCTGAAGGTATGATGTCCAAACCACACATCACAAAATGAAGAAATGATTTGATAATGGTTCAGGATGGACTGAAACATTGTCGTTTCTTTATTTTGTGATATGTGGTTTGAACGTCACAGCTTCTTACCTGGCTAGCAGATTAACTGCACCTCCCTTAGTCCTTGGAGGGAAGAATTCAAGTGAAAAGAACTTGTCATTTGACTCGATACGGCTTTGTATCTTTTCACTAAGGCTATGGTAGCCGGTGAGATACTCTGGCATATGCAGATGGGCATCATCATCTTGCTGAGGATGATCTAAATAGCCAGGAATAGATAGTGTAATGAAAGCATTGTACAATTCTGTAAATGATTATCTACAGATATTTATGGCAATTTAAATAAACATATCAGACCCATTTTTCCAAAACCATATATACTGTAGTGGAATATAGCAGCTTTAATATATATTTATAACATGCTGAAGTAAATATGATTTCAATTTGCCTACCATTTTTTGAATGTGCATGATCTCTATGGCTCAGGAATTCCTTAAGGATGGGAAGAGCTGCAGGTGTACTAGGTGGTGACGGCAGGGCCGTCGGTCCCTCCTTCACCATAATGCTCAGTTACGTATGGTACCGCTTTCTCTTACTGAAAATAAATATTTCTATGTGCATATGAAATACAAAGAGGTGTACTAAGCAATTGTGTTGTGTCACCTCAAAATAAATATGTCATAAATGATAATTGGATAGTTTTGAAAACTGTATAATTATTGAGGTACACTGGATGCATATACTGTACAACCCTTGAGCTGAGTTTGAAGATATGCAGGAATGTTCTCTAAAGAAGGAGATAAATTTGAAAAAAACTCTGCTAGTCCTAGTTTGAAAATGGGTCAGTGAAGAACAAAAATGCTTTGTGGGAAAATTCAGTGGACAGCAAAATAATTATTTTACCTGTAAGAATTATAATGATTAATGTACAGGTATACTGTATCTACTAAATTATACGAAATTGGATCATAAGAGTTACGGTAATTAACCTATTAGTCTGGTACTGTATTTACATTTGGTTTGAGATATCTAAGGTATGTCCTTTCAAAACTAAAAAATTATTATGCCATATTTCTCAGCTGGTCTACTCGGTAGCTTACTACACTGGTACCCATAGTCCCAAATCGAACTGCCAGACTTCTGTGAATATTTTGACCCATCGAGAGGAAGAACTAATATCTGCCCCATCTCTGAGGCAGGGAAATTTGTGGGGATCAAAGATCAACCCACTACTAAGACTAATTGTCTGAAAAGTCTAAAGGGAGTAAACAAATTAAAAAAAATACATTTCTATGAAAAATTAATGGGGAAATCAAATATTGATATAGGTAAATGACTCATTGCCAATTCCTCCAATCACCACCAGGTGAAATCCCAGGACACTCATGGCTCTAACCAACTTACTCACTCACTCACTCACCTGCTGCCTCATCAATAGTTGGACTCTGCCAAGACTGCTGACAAGTTTTAGTTGGTTAGCTTTCCTTTGGACTTTTGTACAGCTTATTACGTTTGACAAGTGTGCTCATTCATCACACTGAGCTCTCCGTTCTTAGTCTGCTTCAGCTCTAGTTTGAGGGTTCCTTTGCCTTGTGCTGCCAGTGAAGTGTGTTAGCGGCCACTTTAGCGTCTCTCAAGCTTTCAAGTTTTTTTCTTTCCTGTCAAAATCAGACAAATTTAGAAGATAAATACTACATTTATATTTACAAACCACCCACATAATTGTTTTCTAAATTAAGATCAAGTTTATTTAATATAGTATGTATATTTTTTCTATATAATTTTTTCTATATAAATATATACAAGTATTTATATTAAGTAAATGGAGAGTACAAAGTTTTTCATTAGAAGAAATATTGGTTATTGCCACTAGCATTGCATATTGCAGGAAAATTCAAATGTCACAACCCCAATATTTTTTTAAATTTACAAGATTCATTTGTTTTTTCCAATTTTAATGATGTTTTTGCCCTGTGTTTATACCAAAATGCTAAGCAATGTATCTATGTATGAATGTCAATTATACATACATTACAGGCAATTAACTTGTTTTTAGTGTCCTATTTACAAATTTCTGATGATCCCAAGCTAGTCTTCGCTTTTTATGACTGCATCAACTTACAGTACTACAAAACTTTTGAAGGTTGCTTGAACAAACAAATACACCACGGTCCCTTCACATTTGTTGGTAGCAACTCACTATTTTCAATATAGCGATTTCCAAGTCTAGCAACCACGCAGTCCCCGTGGCGAAGTGGTAACACACTCACTTGGTGTTTCGCGAATGCTTTGGCCTGGGTAAGTATCCTGGCCAGGGAGGATTTACTGGGCACCAATCCTTAACTGTAGCCTCTGTTCACCCAACAATATTTAGGTGTAAATAGAGTAGCCTCTATTCACCAGCCACAAGGCATGGGTCACCTAGGCCCCTAAGCAGTGACCCGAAAAACATATTACAGCCTAAAACAAATAAAATACAGGTACGTGGCATAAGATGATAAAACAAGGAGACAAAAATAATACATAAACAATATAATTAGAACATAAAATAAAGATGCAGGCAAGTTAGATAAATGAATGGCATACGTCTCAATACCGGGACGACAAACCTTAAGAGTCATGTACGCATGGAAAATCATGTAGAGAATGGCATGCCTGACTTGCACTCAGTCAAGTCCCCGGAGCAAATGAGGGAACATGCACACGTCTCTCTCCAGCTGTAGCTTATCCTTTCATGGATTCAGTCAAGCAACCCACCATATTCTGAATAGCCACAGGGAAAGTGGTACCCCCAAGATGATGTTTGGCTCCTTAGCCAGAGTCCACATGCCCTTGCTGTTTCATGGGTATTCAGGACACAAGGGTAAGACCACCTGTATCCATATCCAGGGGTGATCGTTATCGACCCCTTCCAGTGCTCTTGCACCACATACGATAGATAGAGTACGTCCAGGTCAGGGCTTTCACAGAACAGATCTCCAAGTCGCCGTTAGTCAGCCCCAACCCTTATAGAACACGGGCACTCTCCAATTCAAGGTAACTACTGAAGAGGCAGGATCTGCATCAGCACCGGTGTAATCCCTGACCCATTGAAGAATCTCAGGGATGCCATATCAGTCATACTTGCTATGGTGTGGCTGGGAAAGTGGAAAACCATCAGCCGAGACCTGGATGTCTAGAATTATGGCCTTGTTCCCTTTGCAAGCAATGATGTCTGGCTTGCAAATGGTCCCTCCATAAGGTATCCGCACCTCCCTCACCACCTCGTACCCTCGCTGTCTCAAACGACCAGCTACAAACAGGGTGATATTGTCAAGACATACCACCCGTCCTCTATGCATCCTTGGGCATGCTTGTGAGATGTGCCCAAGGGTGCCAGGTTTCCTGCATGTGTCACACATGCCACTGGCACCTGGGCATCCCCTAGTGGCCATAGACGGTGTTGCCAAAGAGTTAGCCCTCACATGGGCCACATAAGCAAACTCACCACCGCTCAAAAGGTGGGTGGCAGATGAGATCCTCCCCAAGCACGAGGACCACGGTCCAATACCATCAGCCATGCAGTAGAGTCCTCTCACCAGGTCTGAGAGTACTCTGCTCTATTGGCTACCGGCTCACCCCAATCAAAGCCGGGCCGATCCACCGACACACCTTATCCTGGAATGCTCGGAGGGGGGCCGCTGCCCTGACCGTTGGGTTAACCGACTCCAATAGATTGCCAAAATGATTGTCCTTATGCAGCCAGATCGAAGAGGCAAACTCAAGCATCCTCAGACAACCGTGCATTCAGTCAGTGTAAAAGAAAGCATTCTGGGTGCCGTGAGGTAGACGGAGACAGCCGAGGATAGCTTGCCTCGTCCTCTGGTTGAGTCTCGCTTCTCAGTCTTATTCACCAAAACCAGAATCAGACGACGGTTCAGTTTAGGAACGAGGTTTAGGAACAAAGTTCTTATTATAAGATCTTGCAATAGCTTTCTTCCGTATGTCTCGGTTACAACTTAATAAGTGTCCAAGACGGGCCAAAACGACTTTATTTTTCTTTATGTGTGGGTTCAGTTATTTCTTTTCAGCCACGTAGTGTAACATTCTCTGCATGGTTCCTAATATCGTGTCTCTCCTGTGTTGTTGCACTTTGCAATATTAACTAAGATTTCCCAGGCTTCTTATCATTTGCTCATGTCGACAAATGTTGTGTAGAGCGATGCAGAGATGCAGAAGCGAGGAGCAGGCAAGTAAAGTACACGACTACACAACAAGCTGTACCTGTATCAACCATTTAAATAGCAGCAGATGACGCTGTGTGCAGTCTCCTATAACCCTCACCATTACTAAGGCATCGCAACTGCAATTATGGTTATTAACAGTAGATATATTTAATAAATTTGTCCTAACTGTATATGAGAAAAACTATAATAGAAATAAGCCTACTGGTAATTGCGATTATTTGTATAAAACATGTATTACGGAGCCGTAACCGCGGCCAAAACGCCACATTCAGACGCAGCCAGAGAGTGTAAACAAACATGAGTGCGAGAGCCGGCGGTGTTGCCAGACGGATTTGGCTCATACTCTTCCATTCTTTTATTTTTACTGCCAAGCCATTAAGTACACAATATTGTGCTCCTGCCCTAGTCTACAATGCCTTTAAGTCACACTAATACTTTAGTGACAGAGCACGCTATCTCAAACCATGTATATGTTTCACCACCAGAGTGTACTGGTGGTGTTGCCGGAAGTTTTTTTTTTCATTTAGACGGGTACTGGGATACACGACAGTTAAAGATCCAGTTACGGGCTATTTATGCCCGTGCCACCTCTTGGGTGGTTTAATCTTTATAAATCATCAATCAAAGATCCCCCCGTCCTCGACTCAAGTCCATTACATCCAGCGGTCGACCCCACAGACACATTGAGAAATTTTTACACGCTGTTCATTCAAAACGGAAATTTTTTCAAATATAAATTAATATTATAATATATTAGCATGTTGTGCTTATATATAGGCATAGGTTAGGTGAGGTGTTTAGGTTCTGTTGGCGATTATTTGTACTTATAGTACGTGGATGAAGCATTTACAGCGTTGTGGTTCGAACAAAATTCGTCAGTGAAGCACTTGTTCCGGAAGTGTTCGAACGAACTCAGTTTAGAGTTGTGTGTACACCGCTTTTCATTCAGAAACGGTAGAACCCCTTCCAAGTCAGCCCGTCCTCCAAACAAAGATCCAAAAGTGATTCCATGCACCCGCCAAACCCCCTGTTTATGAATGAAAAGCGGTTTACACACGACTCACAACTGCTGACGTTCGAACATATCCGGAACAAGTGCTTCACTGACGAATTTTGTTCGAATCACAACGCTATAAATGCTTCACCCACGTACTACAAATACAAATAATCGCCAACAGAACCTAAACACCTAACCTAACCTATCCTATGCCTATATATACACATTATGTTAATATATTATAATATTAATTTATACTTGAGAAAATTCCCGTTTTGAATGAACAGCATGTTAAAATTTATGAATGCGTCTGTGGGGGCGACCGCTGGATGTAATGGACTTGAGTCGAGGACGGGTTGTCCAAGTGCTATAAAGTCGTAATGGCTTGGTGCTTTCTTCTGATAATTCTCTCTCTCTCTCATAAACAGGGGGCTTGGCGGGTGCATGGAATCACTCTTGGGTCTTTGTTTGGAGGACGGACTGAAGATCCAGGCTCAATTGACTCTCCCTGCTCAGGGTTCGAGCATGGTCTGAGGTTGAAGTTGTGCCATTAATGAGTAATGGTTCATTTAGTAATACACAGAATGTTATGCATATTAGTGGTTTTGCAAGAATAACCATTTATTCGCCAAAATCTGTACTGACACACCCCATTGTACTTTCATGTATATATTTGTAGTAAAGTTGTATAGGGTCTCGGTAATAGTTGTGTTCGTTCTCGACTAGCACTCGAGTATCCCGGGGGTGGGACGCAAAAGATTGGGCACATTTGTTATTACTTAATGATGCCTCTGTTCACCTAGCAGTAAATAGGTACCTGAGAGTTATGCATCCTGGGAAGGGTCAGTAGTACGACCTTGGGGGACCTCGATACCAGCCTAACGTATATACCAACCCATCCTCCTGAAATGAATTTACCTGAGGGGCCACTATTTCTCTAGTGGCCTCGACGAGGACAGGAAGCTGGCGGGTTGTCAAAGGGCCTTCCATTTATCCTGATGATATTTTTCAAGCTGGATTTTAAAGTTCAACAGAATTTTGATATTTACGGTTTCTGCGGGTAGGCGGTTCCATGGGTTTATAACCCTGTGGGTGAAAAAAATCTGTTTTCTGTCCTACATTGTGGCTTGTTAAGATTGAAACAGTTGCTCCTTGTTTGTGTTGCATCTGACCTTTTGAAGAAAGTGTCTGGATCAACATCTTCCAAATTGTTACCACCTATCTCGGTATGAGAGTCGACTTAGGTCTGGAATGACTTTTGTTGCCCGGTGTTGAAGTGTTTCCAGTGAAGCATATCTTTATGAAGGTGAGGTCTCCATGCCTGGATACAATAATCAAAGTGGGGACGCACCAGAGATTTATACACTTGAATAACTATACCTTCTTTTCCTTAAAGTCAAAAGTATGCTTGATTAATAATAATAATAAATCATTT